CTTTATGTTCTTTGGAATTTGTAGATCTTCATTTTAGGGAGACGGGGGAAGGAATCCACGTCGAGGAAATCGTATGTGCAGTACTACTTCAGTAGTACTTTTCAGCGAACGAACAATATTTTTCTCTCACAGTAAATCAGCATAAAGATCAGCATAACCTAAATTTCAGCGAAACCAACTTGGCTTGTGGTAGAGCAGACATCGTGTTGAAATCCCACATGGGAAACAAATTCCCAAATGCACTGGCTTTACAAAGAACAAACCGGTGTACAATCAACGCTAAAACACACTCTTCGCACCCTGCACGAGCCAAAGATCAGAGCGTCCAAGAGGGGTGCGTGTGCACAGTGGGCGACTCATCACAGTAGCCCAGAAGCCACAAGCAAGCACATCGGTGACTGAACTTTCTCCAACAGGCGAAGTGGTCCCTCCGCCCTCGGGCGCCGTCGCGCCGATGAGCATCGGCGCAGTGCTCAGGCAGACAGCGACGGAGAAATCGAAGTCCTATGTCCCGCTGGCACCCATCGACGTTTCATCAGGTGCAGAAATCTTGCTGACACCAGAGGATGCATGTCTTCTGGTCTTCAGGACCATGCAGTCACGCAGGCTCCGGCCGTTCATGTCGCCACAGACACCTTCCTGGACTCCCGGTGCCTGGACTCCGTTCTGGAGGAGTACTGCTGCTGCTGCTGCTGCCTCCGTGCGGCGGCCCGCCTGGGGCGGATGGCGTCGAGCTGCATCTGCTCGCCGCGGCACTCCTCGCTGCAGAAGGGCGCGTCCCCTCTGTACATGAAGATGTCGCAGTCGCGCCCCAGCGGCTTGGCGCAGAGCGCGCATGCGTCCAGCGTGGGCGGCAGGCTGGGAAGCTCGCACACCGGCTCGGCGTCGAAGAAGAAGGCGGAGGCCATGGCTGGCGCGCGTCTAGTAGTTGTTTCTGTGGCTAGGCTAGGACAAGCAAGCTTCGCTTGTCGGCTATTGGCCTGTTGCTGCTGCGGGTGGTCGGAGACTCGGAGGACGAGGTGAGTGAGGTGAGACTTGAGAGGCCGAGGGGCGTTTATATGGCGGACGAGGACGGGCAGGGCAACGGGGGCGCGCGTGAGAAAACAGGGGTCGGGCGCGGGCGGTACGACGGCCCACGGCTAGGGCAATACCGCCCGCCGTACGGGCGGAGCCACCGAACCTGGGCGGCCGCACGGAACGGAATGGAGTGGTTGGCTTCTTTATTCCCGTAGTGTTTGGCTCCGGCCTGACGAGTAGATGGTCGCATCGTTCGTGGGTGCCTGGGGCCCTGGGCGCGTGGCCCACGCCCGCGGCGAGAGCGACGTACATGAGGCGACAGGCAAGTCATGCTCGACAGCGACGTGGCCGCGGGCTCTGGTTTCCGAAAGGAATACAGCGGAATGGCAGCTTGGACGTCCCGGTACTTCACGAAAACCGTGTGCGATGCTATGCTAATGCTACTCACGGTGTGAAGTACTAAATGTTGACAAAATCAAAAACTAATTGCACAGTTTGGTTGTACTTTGCGAGACGAACGTTTTGAGCCTAATTAGTCAACGATTAGACAATTATTATCAAATAAAAACAAAATACTACTGTAGCTACAGTATTTTCCCCGCGTAAAGGCAAAGTGTCCCCTAGTGGGCTCGAATCCGTAGGGGAAAAAGGAGCAGGAGGCATAGTTCCATGAATTTCGTAACATCAAGGGAAAAGAGAAGGTCGGAATCGTTTGCGACAAATCTATACCATTAGGCAAAAAGCTCCAAGCTTTGGCTTAAACTAATGTAAACGCTCTGGCGCCGGTAATAAGGGAACCGGACCTTTTGTCCGTGCCTCCACATGCACCCTGTTGTGTAATCTATATTTGAGCATTTTGAGAAGAAAAGAAAGTCCAACAATTATTGTATCTGGCTTTCCAAAATAACAAGTCGTATATCCTGGAGTTCTCGCATGCTAAATATAGCTTACATGTGCCGCTAGCTATCTGTCTCGCCGTACTAGCAAGATGGTTGGAGTTTTCTGTTTTTATAAGATGTTTCTATTTTAGAGATCGACTAAATTATGGTTTTAACCATCTATTTTTACCAACTCTGTTGGAGTTACTCTCATAAGCTCTCTAGGCACTGAAATTAACAAGCCAAATTGTGCAGTTTTTTTTTCCGAGGCTAAACAAACTCAGTAGCGGATCTCGATAAAAGTCTGCTTTTCGGAACGAAGCTTCTTGGCTGAACCGATGGAATCCAGAATCGCACAAATCTGCGATCGCAAGGTGCTACGACGAACAATATTTTTCTCTCATAATTAATCAATAATATTTTCAGCCATAACTTATCAGCTAAACAAACCCAAACGATCCACACGCTCTCTAGTCCGGTGCCCTCCCCTGTAGGATTTTCTCTAGGGCTGCTTTATTACGGGAATCCTGGGGAAGTGTGGTGCATGCACGCTAGGCGGCACCCTTGTGGCTCGTCGACGTTGCGGCCCTTGCGGGGACCGTTGGCAGGTGTCCAATAGGCGATGGGCACTGCGGTCTGCGACGATGATGATGCGGTCACGCGCCGGCTGCTGCACGCAATCTGAGGCTAGTGAGTGATTTTAAACGCTCGAGGGAGATCGGAGGATCAGGGAGAATTTGTTGTTTATCCAGAGATCGCCAGGTTTCGCCTTGGCGGCCGTGCACGTCTGGGTGCACTGTACGCCACGGGCGAAGCACCTTGCGATCGCAGATTTGTGCGGTTCCGGATTCCATCGGTTCAGGCCGGCAGGCTACGTTCCGGGGAGCAGCTTTTATCGAGATCTGCGCTGAGTTTGTTTAGCCTCGGATAAAAAAAAACTGCTCAACTTGGCTTGTTAATCTCAAGCCTAGAGAGCTTGTAAGAGTAACTCCAACAGAGCTGGTAAAAATATATGGCTAAACTTATAATTTAACCAATCTCTAAAATAGAAATCTCCATAAAAAACAGAAAACTCAAACAAGCTTTCTAGTACGGCGAGACAGATGGCTAGCGGCACATGCAAGCTATATTTAGCATGCGAGAACTCTGGGATATGGCGTGCTATTTTGGAAAACCAGATACAATAGCTGTTGGACTCTCTTTTCTTCTCAAAATAATCAAATATAGATTACACAACATAGAAAGCTCTTCTGTTGGAGTTGCTCTAAGACCTTGTTTAGATTGAAGCTGTTAAAATTTAGATAGCTAAACCAGTCGCTAAACTTTGGCCATCCCTATTTAGTTTGGTGGACTAAAAGAGCCCTTTAGTCCCTTTTAGTCAGAGCTTTTACGTCTGGGTGCACTGTACGCCACGGGCGAAGCACCTTGCGATCGCAGATTTGTGCGGTTCCGGATTCCATCGGTTCAGGCCGGCAGGCTACGTTCCGGGGAGCAGCTTTTATCGAGATCTGCGCTGAGTTTGTTTAGCCTCGGATAAAAAAAACTGCTCAACTTGGCTTGTTAATCTCAAGCCTAGAGAGCTTGTAAGAGTAACTCCAATAGAGTTGGTAAAAACATATGGCTAAATCTATGATTTAGCCCATCTCTAAAATAGAAACACCCCATAAAAAATAGAAAACTCCAACAGTCTTTCTAGTATGGCGAGGCAGATGGCTAGCGGTACATGTAAGCCATATTTATCATGCGAGAACTCCGGGATATATGGCTTGCTATTTTGGAAAGCCAAATACAATAGCTGTTGGACTCTCTTTTCTTCTCAAAATACTCAAATATAGATTACACAACATAGATAACTCTTCTGTTCGAGTTGCTCTAAGGCCTTGTTTAGATTGAAGCTGCTAAAATTTAGACAGCTAAACCAGTTGCTAAACTTTGGCCACCCCTGTTTAGTTTGGTGGATTAAATAGCCTTTTAGTCCCTTTTAGTCAAGGTGTTTAAGTAAAAAGTGACTAAATGGGATTAAAATTAGCTAGCTAAACTTTAGTTGCCTAATCTAAACAACTCCAAAGTTGCAAATCATCATATCATTGTAACGAACCTGTTCGGTTGATGGTTTCTGCACCTGATAAGCCGGCTGAAGCTGATTTATTGTTAAAAAAAAAACTATATAATGGCCGATAAGTTCAGGCGAAACGGTAACCGAGCTAGTAGCTGAATCGGACCTGCGCACCGGGTTCTGCCCGGGTGTGTGGCCAGATAACAGATCAACGGAGCTGGGGTATGCATTGCGCCGTAAAATTACTCTAATGTAAAATCCTAGTAGTATCAGCCAGTGGGGCAAGATCGTTTGGAAATTCCCTCTCCACTACTGTACACAGGTGTTGGCTGCGTACGCGGTGAGTCATGCCCAACCTGGCGCTGATCGGGCACATGTTGGGCTGTACTGGGCTTGAGGTCCACGGCCTCCACCTAGCAATGACGCGCCGACACTCTACACTGTTGAGTCTGACTCAGCGGTGAGTCGTGAGGCGTGCAGAAGAGAAAACAGGGGAAACAAACAAGCACGAATTTGAGGTGCTCAACAAATCCGACTTGGGGTCTGAGTCTGATAACATCCTCCACTCACTTGGCTGGGAGACTGAAGTAGTACTACTTCTACACAGCTGAAGCGACTTGTACAGTTAATAACTCTCAGGCAATTAGCATCACATCAATAAATCAATTCAAGAACAGTCGAAGCGCACACGGTGTTTCAAAAAAATGGCTTTGAATATGGAGGCAAAGCTTTCCAAATGCTTGGGATTAAGACATTGACAGTGGCACGCAGGCCAAGCCACATGCAACCAGAGGAACATGGAGATCATCTTGTCCGACTCTCCGGCGTCCGCGGGGATCATTCGTCGCACAGCTCGGCTCAGCCCAGCGCGACGGAGAAACGGGCCGGGCCGTGCTTCACTTGTCCGGCTGTCGCTCGATCTGATCTAGGAGGAGGCACGTTTCTCCCAATCTTCCCGAGTCAGACAAACGACCAAACCCTTCTCGAGTCTCACTCAATCCGTGCAGGCGCAGCAGCTTCCGGCTGCCTGGCGTAGTGGCGTTCGTTCATCAGCTCGCCACCGCGGACACCTTCCTGGCGTCCCGGTGCCCGCGCCGCGCCTCCGCTCCTGACGAGTACGACGGCTGCCGCCGGCCGCCGGACCTGGCGGAGGCCTGCCTGGCGCGGATGGCGTCGAGCTGCATCTGCTCGTGGCGGCACTCCTCGCTGCAGAAGGGCGTGTCCCCTCTGTACATGAAGATGTCGCTGTCGCGCGCCAGCGGCTTGGCGCAGAGCGCGCACGCGTCGAGCGCGTGCAGGCTGGGCTCGCCGACGGCGGGCTCCGCGTCGAAGAAGAAGGCGTAGGCGAGATGTGCTGCTGCTGCCATGGCTTTGGTTTCGGCTCTCGGTGCGCTGCTAGCTGCAAGCCTGCAACTGCTAGAGTGTGGAGACTAGAGAGACGGCCGGGATGGACGGTTTGTGCTCAGCTCGGAGGCGAGCTGCGGGCCGGTATATATGGCGGACTGGGACTAGCAGGCCGCCGTGCGCGGGCAGGGGGCGAGAGAGAGCTGTCTGGCGCGCGCGAGACGTCTCGCTGTGCGGGCGGGCAATACCGCGCGCCGGCACTGACGGACGGAGCCTCCATTCTTTATTACGACAACGGGCCATGGACCAATGGTGCGGTGGTTTCCGTCCCGGTTCTGCTTGACGCACGCGGGTGACTCGGCTGCACCGCGACGAAAGACGAGGACGACAGGAGGCGGGTCCCTGTTTGACGTGGATGGGGTTCTTTCTGGTCTGGATTCCCAAGCACACAGGAATCGCACAGAAACGTCCCAGTTACATGCAAAAACCGTGTGCTGTTCTCTCATAGGAACCGAAGGAAATGCACCACTTGCTCCGCTTTGGTGTAGCAAAATGCGGGGCGTTTATTCTGTGGAAAAGCAGGTCATGGATGCACAAACCGTGTGCTGTTCTCTCATAGGAACCGAAGGAGATGACTGACGATTCACTGACTATGCGAACGAACAAAAGAATCGTAGAGCAATAGAGGAGGCATGGATGCACGGCAACGGTATGTCAAAAACTTTTTGGGATGCTCGTGCTCCGCTCCAAATTCATGGAATCATGGTCCACCGCACAGATGTTGCCAGCAGAGTGGTGGATACAGCAATACAGCATACTCCAAGTGTGGGGTTATTACTGAACCTATGGACGGTGATCAAAAGATCATGCACCCTAGGAGTAGGAGCTGCTGCCTTGCGCTGAGTCACGCCCTACCTGGCTGTGATCGGACACGTACTGGATCGTACGTCCATGGTTGATTGTTTGTGGCGGGCCACTCCAATGACTCAGCTATGACCATGAGAAATGGGAGTCTTGTTTAACGAATCTGACGTAGGATGGGAGTGACCATTTCCCTTCACTTTGATGGAAAATCGCGCAATTAGCCCCACACTCAAATAATGGTTTCTAGTCCATGAATTTGAATACAGTGAACAGGGAGCTACTCTCGATCAGTTGACCAAGACTGAAAGAAAAGAAGTTCCACTGTATGACCTGTGGTCGTTGGATTCTTTCTTTTACTACATCCCTGCACCAAGTTAGCAGCTGTGATGAGCATTCTTACACCAAATCCTCTTCCATCTTTGCTGGCTCGCCTTCGCCTCCTCAGGGAAAGATGATAAAGATCGGCGTGCGCCCTCACGTTAACCATTTGCGCCCATCTTGGGAAGCCTGAACCCTAACTTTCACCTTCCTTGTTCAATGGTCAGGCGTAGTTGCTGCTTCATGTAGCAACGGTCCACCGTCCACCTATACGACTGGTTCGGTTCTGGGGCAAGACGCCGCGCGCCGGACGGCGCCAACCCGTCACGGGTTTGTGGAGAACTGAGTGGTTCGGTTCTTCACTTCTTCTGTTTCATTTCATTCATGGCGGGCCATGGTACAGTGATTGATCGGCTGACTCGCCGCGCATTCGGCTGGCTGGCCGCGTTTGGCTGGGCTAGCCAGCGCTCTCAGAAAAACAATGTTCACATAAACAGTGTTTTCAGCTGGAACAGTATTTTTTTCTCACCACAATCAGCTGGAACAGTATTTTGACTTATTTTTCACTCCTGCCGAACAGGCTGTCGATCTGATGGTGGCCGCTGTGTCTGGGCTTAGTGGCCCGCGCACCCGGGTCCACCCGTACGAGAACGACAGGCCAAGGAGGCGGGCCCCGTGTATGACGTGGTGCCGGGTTCTCGATTCCGACAGCGACCGAATCGCGCCAAAACAAAACGAGTCCCTGTTTATGCATAACACCGTGTGCTACATCACGCTCAACTTGCATACCGGGGGCTACGCGCTGTTGCAGCATCGCAAGTTCTCAACGACACCCTGCACCTGCTCCACAAGTTGCGACCCCTGTACGGGTGCGAGTGCGACCGAGCGAGCCGTTCACGTACAGCTAACGAACGAGATCCGATCCGATGGAGGAACAGCTGGTGACAGTTATGAGAGGTTCCTGATCCCTGCAGGTCTGAATAACCGGACAGCAGCTGTCCAAAAGATACAATATTCAGGAGTAGCAATAGCAGGGGGAAATTTGTCTCAAATCGACAGTAAGATTGATATACTCCTACAAAGATGTAACTGCAGAGCTAACATTTATTCAGTAATGTTTGCTCTAGTGTCTAGATCAACAAAGCACCCTTGAAAACCATACCCATTTAGCTGTTTCTGATACTGTACTGCAATCCAAAAGGGATAAAACAACTCAATATGCAGATCACAAGTGATCGCTTTCAATAAGTCCCTCTCAGTAATTTTGCCTTCCAAGAATCGTCAATGATGACTGAACAATTTGCTATGCTGATTCTAACAGAAAAGGGAAAATGAACTGGAAAAACTCCACATATTGATCTCCTCAAGTGCAGCGTCCAATAATGCATACCGTTTGTTCTTTAGGCTCATCATGAGATGGAAGCCATTCAAGGGTGCTGCCAGCAAACATAGGCACAATCTCCCCTGAACTGTGTTCATAAGTTGCGGTAACTTGCCAGGTACTCTTTCTCAAGACAATCTTAGAAGTGAGACCATAGAAATCAGGGCCATTGAAGCTTGTAAAAGCTTCTAGATTGCCAAGGGCTCCAGCCTGAAATTGTGGAAACACGTCCAGAAAAATAAACCGATAAGAAAAAAGAGTTTTCAACATATGCATTGTTTGTCACCACCACAACTTCAGTGCCATGTAATTGACAGCAAGATAATTTTCTTGAAATCTAGTTGCGGTGGTGATAAATGATTATGTGTTTTCTTGGAAGCAAAGATGAACGATAAGCATGAGAGTGTTTGAGATAGAGATTACCTCTTCAAATACCTTCGCGTAAAGAGACAAGGCAACAGGAGCGCTATATATTCCTGCACATCCACAGGAACATTCTTTGTTCCGTTTATCATGGGGAGCGCTGTCAGTGCCAAGAAAGTACCGTCTACTCCCTTTTGTTACAGCAGATAAACTAGCTTGTCCTAGGTTGAAGGTTCAGAAACAGTTAATAGGCAGAGTGCTGTTAAAAAATTACAAACAAAAAGTTTTAACATGACAGTTGATTGAAATTATGGGCAATATCCCAATCCTAATGAGGCTAAAGAAAAATGCAGGACAAGAATATTGTTATGGATCTAGTTATATATTGCTGAAGGAATATTTGGTCACATTTGAAAGTGGTTTCATAGTTGGCTAATTGCTGAAGAAATGTTTAGTAATTTTTAGAAAATAATAATAATATCATTGTCATTGTGCATTTATAAGAAGCAGTAGCATTTCTTAGAGGGTGACTCCATACTATGGATCTCTCTTTTCAGAACTGGCAAGCAGTAATTGTGTGGCTGCAAGCCACCCTGAAATAAAGCGTTCCTATTGAGGAGGAGATGCTGAGGAGTCACTGTTGCAGCAACATGACCTGGGAACATGAAAGTGTTATAATCATAGAAAAGGGCACAAGTATTAATGCCATCCTAGCAGCAGTGCATTACCTTGTTCACATGATTCTATGAAATTCACTGCATCCATAGTTGTGATATGTTCCATAACAATTTTCAGCTGTGGAAGTTTTCGTACAAGTGGTGCCAGTGTTCTATCAATGAAAACCTTCTCACGGTCAAAGATGTCAACATGTGAATCTGTGACTTCTCCATGAACCTGGAGAAAAAAGATCATAAATGAGCAATAGCCATAAAAGATTTTTGCACAAGCAGTGCAAAAACAAATTACTTTTTTGAAAGAAAATACAGATTACATTTTTTGGAAAGGAAAAACAAATTACTAACTAAAGCAAGAACAGTCCAACAAATTGTGACCAATATAGAGACTAGTCATGTGCATCAAAACTCCAATCAAAAGGCCTATAGTGCATCAAGAATGCAATGGACCTAAACTACTTACAAGCAAAGGCATTTCCTGCTTGACCATCTCCTCGAGGACAGGCAAGCACTTCCCAAATACATCGGTGACACCATCCTGGGAATTGGTAGTTGCTCCGGCAGGATACAGCTTCACAGCAAAGACTACACCACTCTTTCCAAAAACCGCATAGCATGCAAAATAAACATCAACCTCAAGATATTATAGATTGGTAAATGCACACAATAGTTTTTATTTCACACACATTAGATAATTTTTTTTGATAATCGCATTAGATAATTTTCTTCAAACTTTCAGCAGAATGCACGTGGCAACAAACTCATTGCACAAGTACACAAATGGATAGTTAAACCCATACTAGAGCTGATTACTGCTTCGACTTCTACTGTTTGGCCGATCGTTTCTGCGGCTGATAAGCCGGCTGAAGCTGATTTGTTGTGAGAGAAAAATATTGTATCATGGTTGATAAGCCAGGCTGATAAGTTCAAGCGATAGCTTTTAAAGAACCTGAAGAATATGTTGGTTACTACATGGAGAAGAATTCATACTTGCGCGCTTTATCTCCTCTGGGCTAGTGTTGTCCGTGAGGTACAGTGTCATGAGCGGCAGGAAGCTACTCCCTGGTGGCAGCGCCCTCATTATCTCCTCCCTGTACTCCACCGACCGCGCCGTCGTGGTCACCGGCGGCTTCAGGTTGGGCATGATGATGGCCCTCCCGAAATGCCTCGCACTGTCAGAGAACACACAACAGTACCACACAGTCTCAGAAACATTGCATCGAGCACCAGATGTGCACTACCAAAAAAAACCAAATAGCATCGATGATTGCTCGAACCTGTGGGGCAGCACGGCCTCGAGGACACCGCCATCGCGAAGATGGAGGTGCCAGTTGTCGGGGTGCATGACGATCAGCTGCTCCTGCTGCAGTGACGTGGCAGCCATGGCAGTCGCCCTCAGATTTGGACCTGGCGAAGTGCGGAAGAATGGAAGATGATGCGGCAAGGAGGCGACCTGCATTGGCTTGGCTATCTTCGCTTTAACACGATTTATAACAGATAAAAAATTTGTACTCACTCTGTCCCAGAATAATCGCATGTAGAGCAAATTTGTACACACAGCAAATGATGTTATTTTCTCTATAAAAACTAGAAAACCATGGGCGCGGCAGTTGCCGCGCCGGCTTGATGAATGGGTCTAGTATGGGGGTCAGTACTGTTGCAGTTTAAGATTTGAGGCCATAACTCTGCTGTCGGATGAAAATGTAAGAAAAATGTTCAAATTATTTTAAATTTTGTAATCTATGTGAAGATTTTTTCACCGGTGCTTTAAAGGTTATTTTTTATCATACTACAATTTGATGAGCTTATGGCAATTTAATGAGCTTATCACATCTCAATGCAGTTTGAGAATCTTTTATACATGAGTCCTCCTGACTTAAGCCTACATATTCACAATTTCTTTAGTTGAAGAAGCAGGAGTGGTCTTCATCAACCTCAGAGTATTCACTCGTCATCTTTCACAAATAACAAACGGTTAGGCTCTGATGGAAATTGAGCTAAAATTGTGGCGTAGGATACTCTGCGCCATTCACGAGACTGGCATTCTTCCTTCAGTAAACAAAGCTAATGTTTTAGAAACTTGCTTGTAAACCTTGGAGAGATTGAGAGACACATTGTTATTCAGCAATATATCAACATTATACCTAAATGTTTTAGTTTTAAAGCATTCTTCTAGTTTCTAGACTGTGCAATACCTCTAGTGATCAAAGTGGTTGATAGAGATCATGTTCAATCTAATTCTGTGCCAAAACAAAGCACCATAAGAATATATATTGTAATAAGACCATGCTAATGTGAAGGATAAGTGCCATATAGGTAGAGGCCTGTCATATAGATAACATATATACATCAAAAGACCCGTGTTAATTCTCCATCCTGCCTTCTTGTTTCTTGTTTTGTGTCCTGATTTGTTTTGGGCAAAGCTGAATATTGACCTTCCATCAAATTTAACGGCTCTTGGACCCTACTACGATAAGTTTACAATGTTTTCTCTTAAAAAGATCAGATAAATAAGAGATGACATTAGATATATTGCCGGAGCTTGCACCCTGGATTCGTTGTGAAAAGATTGTTATTGGAAGTAATGTCAAGCACCGCGAGAAAAAACTATGAATTACCACGGTCTATGGTTAGGGATGGAGTTTTAAAACAAAGTGTTGCTCTCCATCATATCACTATAATTTTAGCCAAATGTGAAGAGCCGTGTTATCTGCATGTAGTTGTTTAAAAGTTAAACTTTTTTTCATCAGCTATATGATGTAGCACATGGCTTGAATTTAATAAAAATTTAGTAACATGGCTAATTAGAAATCAGACATATCCACTACTCTACCTTAAATGTATGATAAATTATTGCGTGTAGAAATAAATTACTACGCTACATGACAGTATGCAGATAGTTTATCAGGAACACAATGTGGGATATGTTATAATTCTTATTTTGTGTCGATATTATAGCATCTGTAAACATAATTGAACCTGACTATTTGATGGCTGCATTCAACAGAATGGGCTGGGGACTATGAACTATTAGCACATGCATTTACATCCATATATATCATTAAAGAAACTGTATGCCATAATGGCAGCAGAATTACAGGGCAATTATAAAACAGACGATACCGTGAGCAATGTGCAGCATCGTACCAATCACAATAATATGGATACAAACCTCAATTGGTTGTAAAAATTTGGTCAGTGACTCAATATAAGCTGTGCGCCTAAACGAATAGCTGAAATGAGCTATTATGTACAAAGAATTAAGATTGTAATAATGCCAAACTGCTGAACTTAATAAAAAAACTAACTGTTTCAGAGCACATTTAATAAATACTCTACTTAGGGCGTGTTTGGTGCCCGCTGCAACTCACGGCGGCTACAGAAATTAATAGCGCTGTTTTTTTTTTAATCTCTGCTGGCTGCTGCTTTTCGTATATTTCTAATTGATGTAAACTTAAATAAAATATGAAAGGAAACAAAAGGCATGTTAGTGCCTTAAGTTTTTTTTTAAATGCCAATAAAAGTTTACAGGTAAATTTAGACTGGGATTTAATCACGGGTGCTCTCCAAAAAATCCATATAGTAGTAGATGTATAAAGGTGATAGCGTTCCCAAATTGCATCTCCTTGGGTTATTAAAACTTGTGGCCTAATATCTGGTTGTGAGGCTTTATGTTTATGATCGTTCAGTGGGTTATCATCCATAATTCCGACCCCATTTTATCCAGCAAAATATCAACCAATTCATATAGAAGCCTTTAAGTTTGTACCAATTACTTTCGCAACAAAAAAAAAAGTTTGTACCAATTAAATGAAGTTTATTTACCTTCATACCTTTACAAAATTATTGGGTCACTTTCATGTTGATCCAACAATGCCAACTGCAATCGAGAAGTATTAGAATGAATGTAAATGTAATATACAGTTTGTAAGAAAGCAAGTAAGGATGCGCAATAAGTAGTCAAGTACCCTTGGAGATCATTGAGACATTTAGTCGAACAGGCTGGGTGCCTGGGTGCACTGAGCTTTACATGACAAATTTTGCAGGTTGTCTTGCTTCCTCCACCATTGCGAATTGTGATTTAGGATGCCTGGGGGGCAGCAGGGACAGGAAGAGACGCAGGGTCTTCGTGCCCACGTAACCGAGCCGTTCACTGTGTCCCCCTCGTACATGGCTTCGCTACCCCGCGCTCTTCCGTCCGCTCGCATCTCGCGGCAGCACGTAACGAGTGCAGCAAGAGTGGGCACCAAAGATCCCGAGCAGCCCTGCGCGCGGGAGGGGAGCAGCACTACGACTGCCTCGACGAAAGCGCTGACGACGCTTGTTTCATGGCCGTCGCGACGGACAGGCCGCACTGCGAGCTGCCTTGGCCTCGTCCAGGCTCGCGGAGGCGCCCGCCGTGTTCGAGGACACGGCACCCCATGCGCGGCGCTCGATCTTGAGCATGAGGTGTCCGGTGTCCGCGTTGTGAGGGCGAGGCGGTGGCTAGAGCGATGGACGCGAGGAGCCGAGGAGTCTCGAAGGCACGGGACGCGCTAGCTGCTTTCCGACGGCCCGATAGAAATCTCACGGCCGAGAAAATGTAGGCGACGTGGCCCAATCCCTGCTCGGGAATTGTCTGCGGGTTTCGTCACGTAGAGAAGATTATTTCAATTGTATTGTTGGAAGCAAATTTGTACAGATGACACATGACGATCAGCTGTTAGAAGCAAAGCTTCCGAAATGCTCCAGTTTACAAAGTGGTGTTACAACCTGGCTCAAACACGAACGAGCACATGTCCGACGGCTGAAAAAGGAAGTGCAGAGTGGGCAGATCATATGGCGAACGGGCTAAAGCCTCGTGCTAGCGCTGACGAGCTTTTACAGATGGCGCTGACGGGCATCATGGCCTTGCTCTAGCCTCACAATTACAAGTCGTGACGTAGAAATGTTCCTGTAGCTGCTCTCATCTTTCGTCCCATCGATCAGACCTGCGGTTCTCAGGAAGTCTGGCGATCATCGTGGAACGAAACGAACACCTCAGCCAGGCACCAGGCTCCTTCTGGCGTGGTCAACTCGTCTTGGACACCTTTATCTTTATGGACTGCGGCTGCTGCCGCCGGCCAGCGGACCTGCTGGCCGCCTGCCTGGCGCGGATGGCGTCGTGCTGCATCTGCTCGTAGCGGCACTCGTGGCTGCAGAAGGGCGTGTCCCCTCTGTACATGAAGATGTCGCTGTCGCGGGCCAGCGGTTTGGAGCAGAGCGCGCACGCGTTCAGCGCGGGCAGGCGGGGCTCGCCGATTGGCTCGGTGTCGAAGAAGAAACCTGCACAGGCGAGCGAAGTGGCCATGGTTGCTACGCTTCCGGAGGAGGGTGGACGACTCTGCAGTCCAAGGCAGGTTTTGCGACTCTGAAGTTGAGTTGAGCTCGCCAGGCGGGGAGCGGGGGTATATATGGCGGGTGGACAGGGATCGGGACCGGGATATATACGAGCGAGAACGGGATAACTGAAACGAGCAAACAGCGGCGCGAGATAGGATAGCCCACGGTCGGGGGCTCGGGGCAGATACCGCGCGCCGGACGGGGCGCCCGCGGTTTTTGGAGCACGCACGGAGTGGTTCGGCAGACTCTTCTGTTTGGTGGCGGCTGGCGGCCCATGGTGCGGTGATAGGCTGACTAGGCTTGATGGCAATTGGCAGCAGTTGTGTCCCGCGCACCCGGGTCCACGTCCACCCGTACCAGAACAACAGGCCAAGGAGGCGGCCCCCCGCGTGTGACGTGGTGGCGGGTTCTGGATCCCGACAGAGACGAATCGCGCCAAAACAAAAGCGTCTCTGCTTTTTCTTACAAGCAAGAAACCGCGTGCTATCACTGACGGGGCAAGTGAATCCACTTGTGTGAATTAGAAATACTGCAGCTTGCTCCGCTTTGTGCAGCAAAATCTGGAGGCAAATATTCTGACGCACCGTGATCAATCGGAACCATATTCTAGAGTACTAGTATTGATTTGCATTGCATCAAATTAACACTACTACGATGCCGGTCCCAACTCCCAAACTTTTTGGCTTAGACTAACCTAACCTAGACACCCTATCAGGGCTGATAATTGGTGCGCCAGCCTTTCCCCCAACATGCGACGTGGGCGCCCCACATGGTCATGGCCATGCCCACATATGATAGAGGGCACTTGCCGTTGCAAGTTGCAACACCCTCTCGCTCACACAACTTCAGCATGGGCACGCACGGCTTTGTCTAGGTCTCCTTCCTGACGAGAGATTCTTTAGGGAGGAGGGGTTGGTGCATGCACGCCACGAGGCACGGAGGCAGCACCCTGTGTGTGAGCATCGGTTGGGACCAATGGCAGGTGGCGCTTAAGCAATGCGTCTGCTACGAGGCGGTGGTCACGCCCTGGATGAAGATGCACATGCACGCGATCTGTGGTTGCGCCGTCGGCATTGAATTTACTATATGCTGTTGCTTTGGCCTTGAACCCTCGACAACTTTGGACGCAGGTTATAAAAAAAACCCTCATTGTTAAGCCATTCTGTATCGCCAGGTTTCAACTTCGGCGGCTGTGCACGCTTTGGAGTGTCGCTTGGCAGGCGGGGCAGGTTTCGCCCGGGGAGAAGCATTTCTGGAGATACGCGCCCAGTTTGTTTAATGCTTGCAACTGTGCTGTGCTCCCTGTACTTAAAAAAAAATAAAGTTATTTTGCACAGCGAAGTGATCTCCAAAGCATAGCTATGCTTTGATTATTTATTTTTATAAAGATATTTATCAAAAAGTGATATACGTAAATTTTTGTGAAAGTATTTTTCAAGACAAATCTATACGTATGGTTTTTATATTTCCAAACTCAACAACTTAAAAATTATTCATAATTTATATTTCTAATGTTTGATCAAGCCTTATAAAAACGACTTCATTCTTGAGCACTGAGGAAGTACTTACGTAGGTGGCTTCACAGAGAATCATCGCGCTTTGATAATTGGAGGTCACGGATGGTCCAAAACATAATCGCCGTCCCGTGCGGGGCACGCGAGCTGTTGTGGCACGTCCGCTGCCGGCGACGGCGAGGGACGCACGGTCACACCTGCGGGCTGCGGCATGGTGCAAAATGTTTTCCATTTTGTTAAGTGCGTGCATCACACAGTTGTTGGGCGCTGAGTGGAGGATGACGCGTAAAAGTGCGTGCGGGGGCGCTAGTTTTGGCGTGTACGGCGGCTGCTACGCAGGCGGTGAGTCACGCACAACAAGGCAGCCGGTGACTCCCCCCACGGCTTTCTCCGCACCCATGGGCCCATGACGTCTCTCGCCGCATGATTGGGTGGGGGACTGACTCTCCGGTGACTCATTGATGAGACGTAAACAAAACAAAAGATAAAGAAAACTGAAGTGTTCAACGAATCTGACGTGGGTGCAATGATTCAGGCCATTTTGGATCTTTTGATTAAGTGCATGTTTAGTTCTAAAATTTTGTAAAATTTTTCAAGATTTCCATCACATCGAATATTTGGACGCATATATAAAGCATTAAATATAAATAAAAAATAAAACTAATTACACAGTTTAGACGAAATTCACGAGACGAATCTTTTAAGCCTAATTAGACTATAATTGGATACTAATTGCCAAATAACAATGAAAGTGCTACCGTACCTGTTTTCCAAAAAAATTCGCCAACTAAACAAGGCCTAAATAGCTTGACACTGATGGAACATAATACTATAGTAGTATGTGTATGTATAAAACGTATATAGTACTTCCTCCTATCTAAATTATAAGGTGTTTTTTTGCTATTCTCGATATATTAATTTTATTATATATCTAAACATAAGCATATATCTAAATACATATCAAATCTATGTATCTATAAATCTTAAAACGTCTTATAAATTAAAATGGAGGGAGTACGTACTTGTAATTACAAATAGAACTCTGGTTATGCAATGGGGATACTTGCTCAATTGTTTCCTTGACATTTCAGGTCGACGAAACCTCTGTTACATTCTTGTCGGTGTTTCGAGTTATCACCGACGAGTAAATTTCTAATATTGTGCGTCTGGCTCGGAGGATAGTGTTTATACTCGAGAGAAAATTCACGAGGTTTACTAACACTGAAAAGTTTGTAGTAGGGGTTACAAACGGGCGAGAGAGGGAAAGGATCCCAAGTCTCTGGTGAAAAGAAAAGAGCTCCCTACGCCAGTAAGTGTTCGTGGTAGTGCTCTTGTTTGATCTGCTTCTCGATGGGTCGACGGTAATCCTCTTCATGAAAGGCCAAGTTTGTAGTAGGGAGGAAAATACAAGAACGAGAGAGAGAGGGATCAGGATCCTTCTTCTCCTTTAAGTCCCACCGATCTTGTAGATGTTAAATGCATGTCCTATCCGTGTCTTTGAGAGCTTCCATCTGCTCGGGTCATGGCGCTCCATCCGTCCCAAACCAAGTAGGAAAAATGTCTTTGGATTTTGGTGTTTGATGACTAGACTTGAATTTACAAGTGTTTGAGTCCAATGGGTACAAGGTTCTCGACATGATGATCGATCAACACCTCAAGCAAGACCTTAGATCCCTAAGATTCAAGCAAAGTCCAAGCATGAAGATAGGAACCAAGCCGCGCTTTTCTTTCGCATAGGCCAAGGAAAGCATGTGTTACAACGGAGGAAAATAAAGAACGACGAGAGACGCGAAGGCGAACGGAGGATCGGCCGGGTCCTTCTTTCTCCTTTATCGTCCGAGTCCACCGATCTTGTAGATGCTTAACGAGGGGACCAGCGTCGCTCGATCTCGGCGTCCCGGTCGATGGCCCTGCGGGAGTTCGACCCCAACGGCTACTTTCGCGATGGGGCTTATAAATACAACCCACAACCGGGCATTTGAGTAGTGTGGAGCTAAGGAAACAAATCAAGAGTGTTGATACACCATTTGAGTGATCTCCACATGCATAGTGCTTAGTGTTTTATTAGGTGATTAGCATAAGTGCTTTTGCGAAGTGCTTAGGTTGATTAGACCACCGCTTATGCGCTTGCTCTAGTGTTTGCCTAGTGTTTAAGTGAGGTTTGCATACCTCTTGCCACCCGTGCTTGCGAGCACAATAGTTGTACATCGGAGGGCTTGAAGTCTTGCGAGATCGCACCAACCGCGTTTGTGGTGAACTCGTGTCTATCCCATGGCGTTTGCCGAAAAGCTTGATAGTGAAGACGACGGAGAGCATCCGGGAGAGGCTTGCCGAAAGGCACATCGGAGACCCACTTGCGCGTGGGGGGAAGGCCCGAGGCTATCCACGAAGTTCCCGGCCCGAGCTTGGCCCTCGAGAGGATTCCTGAGGGGCCCGAGAGCCCTTACGCTTTCTCGATACCTCGGTAAAAATACCGAGAGTCGTCGACGGGAGTTTGCATATCTCTACCTTGCTCTCTAAGCTTCCGCATTTACATTGATCATATTATTATCATTTTATGCGGTAGATATGCACACTAGCAAAACCGTAGTTGCACATCTAGATAGATTATCTTTTGCATAGGTTTTGCTAGAGGAAGAAAAGAGAGCCATAGCTTAGAGTTAGATTTTTAAGTTGCCTAATTCACTCCCCCTCTTAGGCGTCCACGTGTCCTTCACCGTGGACGTCGTGGTGAATCGACGCTCGCCGTCATCGTCGTCCTCGAGGGTTAGGCGGCGAAAGACAGACGCCTGACGCCGGATGTGAACCCCTCGTATGGCCCGTCATGGCCACAGCGAGGCGAGGCGTGCTAATCTTTTCCACAGTGTCGAGCTTTGACCCAGTCCATACGCTTGGACCTAAAGTGGTTGGCGGTAGTATGGGTCCCCGTCGCGGCGCAAGGGCTGCACCAAGGGTCGAGCGAGGCGGAGCCGTGGCCTCGGGTCCGAGGCGAAGTCCGCGCCTGGGTCGGGCGAGCCCCACGGCCTTGAGGTCGAGACGAAGTCAAAGTCCTCTGGCTCTCCGAGGCGAGCGAGCGCAAACCAAGGGCCGAGCGAGGAGGAGCCCATCCTCGGGTTGCGAGCGTAGCCCTCCCCCAGAGGTCGAGCAAGGCGAAGCCCGCGCACCTGGGGGTCGGTTGGAGCTGTAGTCACGCTCTTGACTGCTCGGATGAATTAATGTTGATGACCATTAGCTCCTCCTCTTTGGATACCATAGTATTGGTAGCCCACAATTCTACTCTGTCATTTTCTCGCTCAAGAACATCACGTACTCCTATCCGTTTACATGTGCTCGGACGTCCGTGTATTGTATTCGTTTCTCGCGCTTATGCGAGGGCCGCGCTGCCCGAGCGACAAGAGGGGAAGGGGGCAGCGCCTCCTATTCGGAAGGATCCGGCCGTGGCATCGTATGGATGCCCTACCAGCGTCGAGAGGAGGACACCAAGACGATGCAGTAGAAGACGAGGAGGAGAGATGCAACGTCCAATCTGTTTTTTAAACATTCTAATACAATAGTTGCAACATATGTCCGAAGACAGATGAAATACTTGAAAAAACACTCAAAACCATTGCAACAATACGCAACATCCAGATAAAACTCATGTAACGTATGTGTGAAACATATGCAATATCCATATAAATACATTTGCAGCATGCATGTATAACCATTACAACATATGCAACATCATGCTCTACTTTTACAACATCCATATGAAACACTTATAACATATTTCTAAAACATCTGAAACACTCAAAATATACGCTTAGAACATACGCTTCTCAGCAAAACATGACAGTGCGGCCTCACGTGGTGAGCAAGCCGCAGCTGTGCTGTAGTGGGGGAGCTCGCCACGGTGGTGAAGAGGATGGCTTGGGGAGGTGCGGTAGAGAGAGGCGTGCGGGAGCAGTGGCGGAGCAGGTCGTACAACGGATGCGTGAAATTTATTTAAATTTGCGGTGACCGGAGGGAGCGGCAGCTTCTGCACGAGCGTCCGACGCGGACGGACTCCCGGTATTGCGGATCTGTTTACTCACAGATTTCCGCCAGATCCAAGGTGCAACTTGTTAATCTCTGGCTTGGGGATGGGTGGTCAGAAACCAAAATCCAGGCCTTTGTTGACTTGTTTTTTTCATCTCTGGCATGGGGATGGGTGGTCAGAAAAAAAAAGATTACAGTGATTAAATGCTCACTCAGATCTCTGGCGCATAAACGAGGCCGAAGTGATTATTGCTCACTCAGATCTCTGGCGCGGCCTTGGTCTCCAAGGAAACCTGGCATGGATTGCCAAGCTTCGTCGTCTGGCCAACAATTCGAAAAGCACACAAAAAGCACCGTGCGGTTGATGCGAAAATCAATCACTCAAATCACATGAAAGCTCACAAAAACCCAGTCAGGAATGAGATACGTCTGCGATCAAAATTTCATGACTATCATAGCATGCTGAAATGCCACATATTCGTACATTTATAGGTCAACGGTGCTCTCGCTGTCTCGCACACACTCTCAGGCGGTCAGGCCTCAAGCACACTGCACACACAAACGAAAAATATCCAATTGGGGAAAACAGAAACAAAGGGCAGCACGCATGGCGTCGATTTCAAGATTTCAACACACAGCTCAGATCGATCTGTATTCTGTCATCGACATCTTCAGCCTTCAGATTCATCCCCTGCTTGCCACTGTTCCGCGCCCAAAACTCTTTTGTGTGGCGCAGCGCCGGCCGCCGGCCGCCGGCCAGCCACAGCCAGGAGCGCCTCCCCAACGGGATCTCTTGCAGCTGTAGCTGCTTGAAGCAGCACGATCTTCCGCTTCTTCCTCGGCCACACTCTGTCAGTCTGCTTAGATGGGCACGTACACGTCCGCCTTGGCGGCCACAGAGGCCCTCCTGCTCCGCTGCGACTGCTGCTGCTTCCGCCGGCTGCTGCTGGCCTGCCGCGCGTAGGCCGCGTCGTGGTGCATCTGCTCGTAGCGGCAGTCCTCGCTGCAGAACGGGGTGTCGCCCTTGTACATGAAAATGTCGCTGTTGCGGGTGAGCGGCTTGGAGCAGAGCGCGCAGGCGTCCAGCGCGTGCCGCCCGGGCTCGCCCAACGGCTCCGCGTCGAAGAAGAAGGCGCAGGCCACCGACGTCGTCATGTCTCGTCCGGCCTCTCTCTCTGGCTTGCTTGTTGGTGTCTCTACGGACCAAGAGCTCGGCTGCGCAGCTTTTGCCAAATGCTTTTGCTGCTTTGAAGAGGGGGGAGTGGGGAAAGAGAGTGCGTGGGAGTACCTCTGCTCGGGTGAGCTTGGCTCGCAACGGGGGGCGTATTTATCGTTGCGAGCTGAGGAACACGACAAGCGGGCCTGACGTGGAGCTTACAAGAAAGGTGAGAGAAAACCGTGGGTGGTTCTCAAACCAGCCGGCGACGGGAGCGAGAAGGTCCAGCGCGCCTGCCTATCAACGTGTGCCTCGTGCCTGCCTGCTTAACAAACCGTAGCTGACAGCGTGGTGCCTGCCCCCAGTTGGGCTCGCTTAACTTTTTATCTTTGGAGGGGTCTACTGAGCAGTAAGGGTAACTGGCTTGTTTAACTGTCTGGTTAAACTCATAACCGTGCCCCATCCCATGATGCAGCAAATGGTTGTGGGCGGGGATCGAGCCGTAGCTCGAGTGGTTAATGCTGCAGGTGGTGCAGCGGCCGGTCGTGGGTTCGAGCAGAGCTCGACTCACGATCCCCACCGGGGTTTTTCTCTATTTTTAACAGCCTAGCGGTGTGCTCCGTAGAAATAAAGGGATAGCGGCGTGCCCGTCGTCTACGGAGCCTTGGATTCGGTGATCCTTTCAATGACGCGATCTTGGAATCTAGGTGTAGTTGTAGAATTTGTTTGTGTACATGGGGTGTGAGTGAGGTGTGTGTGATGTTGGTGTGTGTCTGTTCATGAACAGGTACACTTAGATGAGAGGCGAAAAAAAGGTTGTGGGCCCCCTCAGGTAAAGCAGACAAGATTGGGTTGTGTCGAGCATGGCTTTGGCCTTATCTTGACGTGGCAAACAACTGGATAACTTAGTGCTGGAGGTGGAGCCGTGGAGGGTAGTAGGGTACGAGGTCGAGGCGCTTCCATCACCAACCACCGGCAGCCCGATTTGATGTACTACCGTCCCACGTTCGGAGCGGTGGCGGTCGATGCATGGCACCTTGGAGTGTTCTTCGCAACGAGCTTTGGGCCAGAAAGGCGGCTGGGCAGTCGCCACTCGGCACACATTAGCGTCTAGTCCAACAATAGACATCAATCCGCACTTCAGTCGGCCCGGCACAAAGACGTTCTTTCACGTGGAATGCATATGAAGTCCAAACAAAAAAAACTCTAATTTATCTTCCTCAACTATCGCGATTGTCCGATTTTTCTCCTTTATTTACAAAATCAGTATTTTATCATGTCTCAACTTTTTTTTAAACCGTTCATTTTTGCACCCTCAACGGTTTTAATGGTGATTTTTCTGATATGGTGCCACGTCACAGGGATAAATTGGACTAAGTTGAAAGTTCAACGAGGTAAATCGGATTAGAAACATTTTTTATAGAAAATATAAAAAAATCATAGGAAATTTGTTTTAACTCAGAAAATTATGAAACTAGATTTAGATTTTTTTTCTAAAATCATGCTTTTTGTTATAGTGCTTAGCTTCAAATATCTTGTTCATGTAACTTGGTTCTATCTGTATCATCACCTGTGTGCTACCATCTAGATTTCCATGTAACCTTATGTTCCATAATTCATTGCATTACAATGTATTTTAGGTGTTTTATAAAAAAATATAGTCAGATTTATCTCCTTGAACTTTCAACTTAGTCAGATTTACCCCTGTGACATGGCACCATACCAGTAAAAATCGCCATCAAAACCATCAGGATGCAAAAAGAGAACGATTTTCAAAAGTTGAGAAAGGATAAGAAACCTTTTTTTAGATCGGGGTGGAAAAACGAAAGTTGAGTGACGTAAAGTGGGGAAGTGACGTAAAGTGGACTTCTTCGAAGTAAAAATGAACCTAGGGTGCGTTTAGATCCAAAAAATTTTGGATTTTGGTTCACTGTAGCATTTCGTTTGTATTTGGTAATTAGTATCTAATTATGGACTAATTAGGTTCAAAAGTTTCGTCTCGCGATTTCATGAAAGTGGTCCCACACTTAAATCTCACATGTGAAATTCGATGTGAAACACAACGTCCCATAAATGAGGCTAGTTAAGGTACACCTTATTAAGCCAAAAGTGGTCCCACACTCTCACATGTGAAAAGTGAAACACAACGTCCCATAAATGAGGCTAGGTACTTTCAAGCCAAGAAGTGTGAACCGAACTGAAATATTGTGTTTTCAGTTTATGTTTGGCATGGCTCCACTTTGCTATTGAAGTCATTTTTTTTTTTTAGCTCTATAAACAGCTCCATTAGTAGAGCTTGAGCCATTTTGGTAAATTATTTGGCAAAATAACTCTATATGTGGAGTTTCTTAAAGCATGCTCTCATATAACCCAATGCAGGACCCGCCACGACGAGGTGAAGCAATTATTATTTTTTGCTCCATTCCACCTCAAATATCTGTGAGAGCACGATTTAGGCCCAGTTCACTTCTCTTATAATCCGTACTTTTCAGCTTGTTTTTTCAGTCGGAACAGTATTTTTCTCTCACAATAAATCAGCCGGAACAATGTTTCAGTTTGTTTTTTCAGCGAAGCGAACGGGGCCTTAAGAGGTTTCCTAGGTGAAACGTTTCTCTCATACACCTACTTGTTAAAAAATATTTATAAATCTATAACTAAGTTATACCTGATTCAGTGAGTATGAAATTTTTACTACATTTCAAACATATAATAATTAGCTCACCATAAATTTTTCATCATAATTGGACCATAGAAATTGCAGTTATGAATTAATTATAGAAAAATATAAATCTAGAGCTACAGAAAAAAACTTGTACTAAAGCATACCATATTATATGTCCACTGTGTAGATCTACTCATGTGGAGTCCAATAAAATTGGATTTTTTATTTTATGATTTTTCTTTGATTTACTATGATTTTTTAAAGATTCAACCGAAATAAATAAAAAAGAAAAAGACAAAACCGCCTATGAATATCGCTTATAATCGGTCCGGGAGGTAAAATAAATGGTTTTAAAAATTCAGGGACATGGTTTACCCGATTTTAGAGTTAAGGGAGAAAAACATATTTTCCTAAAAATTGAGAAATGTAATGCGGATTTTTTCCAAACGGAAAACCTTATTACCAAGGCCCACCTTATTACCCAAGGCCCAGTCATGAAGGTGGGTCCCGCATTCTCTCATGTGAAACTGAAAAACACAACGTCCCGTAAACAATGCCGCCAGCCTGCAAAAATCTGGCCGTCGATTCCCCGACCCCGAGCAAAGGTCCGCGACTGATGTCTCCGCTTCATTCGCTGCTCTGCCTACGGCAGAGTCCGCATCCACTCACCTCAGCTAGGGTTTCGGACTCGAGGCCATTCCTCAATCAGCTCCTTCCCCAAGTCGATCCCCAGACGGGGCATCCCCCGAGCCCTGATGCGCCAGGCGGCCAGCTCCACCTCCCAGCGCCCCTAGCCGTCAGCCGCCCCCGCCCCCGCCCTCGCCCCCCCGTCGCACCCGCTACCGTCGCCCCCACCGCTGCTTCATCACCTAGCCCCGCCGCCGCCACCCGTTGCCCACAGCGCCGCTTCCCACTGCCACCGTCCCAGCGGCGCGCCCCTCCGCCTTCCGCTGCTCCAGATCCGAGGCAGGTCACCGCTGGGGACGCAGCACGAGCGCCGGAGCTGTTCACTGGAGCTAACAGGTATGCCCATGCTTACATATTTTTTTCTTTCCGAAATTCGAATCCGAAAGGATGAGCAGCTTGCTTAAGCTGGTAAGCATATGGGGAAAGGGGAAAATAATCACATTTCTGTGCAGCTCCTGTGAATTTACATCCATTCGTGCATGTTCGTTGCTGCAAATATCTTGTGAAGCAAGGTCGATAAGAGCCAACTAATTGGTCTCTGTAGTTGCATCCAATTCTCTTTATCGTTAAGCCCAGTGTGCAATTTGTTGTGTGTTACTCCTTTTTAAGTATTTAAGCTGCTTTTCTCTCTCTGGGACTCGTCTACCTTTAATCTACATTAGCACAGATCGTGTAGAGTAAGTGGATGGAGGCCCCGTTGAAAAATTAAGACCATGGCATTATCAAGCTAAGAACAATCATGATCGGAAATATTTGCAACATTTCTCTCTTGTGCACGCCCGATTACACTCAAACAGCAACTGACCAACCCCCCAATACTCCTACATGAGTGATGCATTATCTACATCAAAATTGTGTTTCTTTTTTTGGACAGAAGGCTTCTGCCCAGCTTTATGCGAAGCAAAATAGTCTGCTGAGATTACCTGCTCTTACATAGTACATGCTTGACTTGCCAACGAAGAAGAAGAATCTGTGCCTAGGATCAGCGTCCACAAATTACACGGCAAATTTCAACACTTGCTGCTTTAGCCTAAACAAGTCACAGCCCACTGTAGAAACCTCTGGACCCATCAGAGAACCAAACAAACATAACGACAGTTTTTACCCAACAAACCAGACAGCTGAAACCTATTTTTTCCTCCTCCTACTAGTTAAAAAGCCTCCATCGCTTCAAAACTTAGATTATTCTATATGTCATCTGGTTAACAATCACGACATTCTGAAAAACAAAATCATTTATAGTTAGACAGAGCGTCCTGCAAGCACGTCCTATCCTAACATAAAGATCAGCAACTCTTTGTTGCCCCCCTGCCCTTCGGGGGAGCAACAAATGGTTAAATGGGATACGCTCCCTGGAGCTTGTTGGCATCCAAAACTTATCTAATCACTCCAAAACATGTAATGAGATGATGAAACTTAATATGATCCGCAGTTTGTTTAGTAGCAATTGCCATATGCATGATTCATGTGACTTCGTGGTTTGAACTCAGAACTCTGATTGTACAACCAACCAATAACTTGCATGATCTTTATATCCATTTGCTTTAACCAGGAAAGTACTGCTAGAAAGAGAATCCCAACATGTAGGCTGTTGTCCAGTGAATGATGAGTGTGCTCTATAATTAAGGCGACATCATTTGTTTAGTGTTACTTACCATTGCCCATCCGTAAACCTTTTTGAAGCATTTGGGTACCTTGAATAACATACAATCCTAAATGTGATTACTGGACTCTGGTGTTTAGACTTTAGACATGTACATGCACTGATTCTTTAATATTGCATAACCAGTCATTTACCCAGCTACTATTTGATTTTGCAACTAGTAACACTGTATGGCACACTTCTTCGCTTCAGGATTTTGAGAAGAGGAATATAATCATGGATATCATGCAGACTAGTGACTCTTCACATCATGGAATTGTAGAAAATAGCCCGTACAGAATTCCATATGACAGACATGCAGAAGGTGGTCAACTTGGTGCTTCATGGTATTTTAGTAGAAAAGAAATAGAGGAGAATTCCCTATCGAGGAGAGATGGCATTGATCTGAAGAAAGAGTCTTATCTTCGCAAGTCATATTGCACATTTCTGCAGGATTTGGGGATGAGGCTTAAAGTGTAAGTATATATTATACCACAAGTTCTATGTCAATTATTTTTACTTGTATTTCCTGAAAATACAATATCCATTCGCCTGTTTCAAATTTATTTAGATAACCTGCTAATTTTTTGGAGCTTAGTTTTCCTAGGGCGAATACCATTTATCCCCTAAACTTTGGGGTGGAGGTTGAGATTTCACCCTAACATAAGGCCGGATATCTTTTTTACCTTAGACTTTACACCTTACAAACAACACCCTAACTTTGAAAAGCATTTCTTGCCTATGCGAAAGGAATGCATGGGTTGTTTACCATGTAAGAGTGAATGCTACTTCATCTTGTTTAAATGTTTTATTGATAAGGAAAAAATATTAGGTCCCATGTTTCATATGAAGGAAGTCTTTATCTCCATGCAGCCACAGACTGGTGGTTTCACTTGTGGCAATGGGTTGTTTTCCGGTTCAGCAAAATCACGCTCCAGAAACAATTCACTGTGTTATAATAAAAAAAGAAACTAAGACCTGATGGTTTCATGAGCACAAGTGTCAAATGGGTAAACAGCTTCATTGGTAATCAATGCAATTGCAATCAAGGGATGGTGAATTTTCTACTTTAATACTGGTTATATTATGGTTGCTAGTTCTTGCCTAGCATGTCATGAGCAGTTGATAACATCCTTGTTTTTAGTTAGGTGGAACAGATAATGCACAACACTGTTTAGCACTGTATTTCAGTTGCCTGACTGCCTGAAAATAACTGTATTTTGATTGTCTACTAGCTGGTAAACATGCCTGCATGTTACTGCACAGGTTATGATATCTTGTTTGAGTTGAAACCTTTTATATATGTAACTCTTTTCTTCTAATGCCGACTAACTCTGTAATGTAGGCCTCAAGTGACAATTGCTACTGCTATAGTGTTCTGTCATCGGTTTTTTCTTCGTCAATCTCATGCGAAAAATGACAGACGGGTAAGTTTTCTAGATGTTTTTTTAACCTTTTGGCCTCTGTGTTTATAATATGATTGTAAAGAGTAATTTTCTTTATACACATAAATCACCTGGACACTTTGGTCTACATTGTTGTCAGCGCAATCTCAGTATGTAGTAACTGGTAAATCTCCGGCGCTCACAGTTCCGGTACCACCTACATGTGGAAGACAAAAATATTTGTTTTCACATATAAAACACATGTTTTATTAGATGTGTCAAAAAATAGAAAATCCACATTATTAAAAATTTAAGTTTGTTGTCAATACATGCATTTCTTTTTAGCATACTGGCGCCGCTTGCTTATTTCTCCCTGATAGTTATTCATCATCTGCTAATGAAAGTTTTAATATATAAGTTCATTATAACATGCAGACAATTGCAACAGTATGTATGTTCTTGGCGGGAAAAGTTGAAGAAACACCCAGACCTCTGAAGGATGTCATACTCCTTTCATATGAGATCATCCACAAAAAGGATCCTGCTGCAGTTCAACGAATAAAACAGAAGGTGATTTGTTTTAGAGCATTTAATATCTTGATATTCCTGTTCTAGGTAATCTGAACTTTGTAACCTATGATGTTATTATTCTTTTCTTTCCTTTTCATTTCTCCTATGATAGTACTTTTTTAAAGGCAAGGCCAGGACTGCTCTTTTTTATGCAATTTTACGTACTGATTACTGTGGTACACAACAATAACTGAGGCTGTTTGTTTTGTTTCTTCAGGAAGTATATGAACAACAGAAGGAACTTATTTTACTTGGGGAACGTGTTGTGCTTGTAACACTTGGTTTTGATTTGAATGTGAACCATCCTTACAAGCCCTTGGTTGAAGCAATAAAAAAATTCAAGGTTGCTCAGAATGCACTTGCCCAAGTTGCCTGGAATTTTGTCAATGATGGGTATGCTAAAATTACTCTTCCTCATTACAAATAGTAATCCACAAACATGCCTATTTACTACGCCTTAAAAGGGGTGTACAGGCTCCGCACTTCACTTTGCCTGCAATTTAAACCGCACCATATTGCGGCTGGCGCAATCTTCCTGGCTGCGAAGTTTCTCAAAGTCAAGCTTCCATCAGATGGCGACAAGGTCTGGTGGCAAGAGTTTGATGTAACTCCGCGGCAGTTGGAAGGTTGGTCTCTAGATGCAAAGTCACTAGTGCGCACCTTAACCGCACTACTGTAAAAATTCATTTTCGTAAGTGCTAGTTTCCTGCTTATTAGCTATCTAGTAATCCCATGAAAATTGGACAGCCAAAGATAATTGGCGTGTCCAAAATGATCGTGGAACTAAGATAGGTTGAAGGCACACACAATTCCATGATCTATGGCTCTATACTCAAGGCAATCCCATTTGACTTTAGATGCATTCTGGGGACATGCCATGTAGTCAGGAATAATTGGTTGGTGATGTCATTTTAGTGCTTTTTTTAGTTAGATCTTGCCAATCTTGCATTTTGTTATATATCTTTTTGCCACCATGATGCTTCTTTTGGTCCTTTTCTTCACTTTCGATGCTATATTTTTGTTTTGAAAGATCATTTTATGAATTATACCATCAAAGATACATGCTTATGCTTTGTGTTTTTGGTTACTCCTTTCAGAGGTTAGCAACCAAATGTTGGAACTCTATGAGCAAAACCGTGTTCAACCAACACCACCCCAAGGCAATGATACTGAAGGCAGTTCTGCAAGTGTTGCGAATCAACGTGGTTCTGGTAAAGTTCCAGGAGTAGCTGATGAACCTCCTGCCCATGAACATAATCAAGCACCCAGACAATCGAGCCAGCAGAACATGTCAGGCCACCATGGCTATGACCACCCTTATCCGGAGAAGCAAAACTATAGGATACCTCCAAATGAAGCAAGGGATGGCACTGCTAATAGCAACGAAGGTCCCAATGTGTCATCCTCGATGATGGATGCAATGAAGAAGATAAACAAGGATAAGGTGAAAGCGGCCCTGGAGAAGCGGAGGAAATCGAAAGGTGACCTTTCAAGAAAGGCTGATGTGATGGATGATGATGACCTCATTGAGAGGGAACTGGAACATGGCGTGGAGTTGGCTGTCGAGGATGAGAAGATCAAGCAGGAGAGAAGGCAGAGCTGGCCTCATCCTGCACACCGTGTAGACCACCAGAGCACCAACCGTGAGAATACTGAAGAGGGTGAGCTGTCCATGGACAGTCAAGAATACCATTCTCCGGAGCATGACAATCGGAAGAGAAAGGATGCGCATGAGTACCGGAACTATGATCGTGACGAAAGGGACCTTAAAAGGCTAAGGTCTTGAGAGTTACACCTTTGTGGGAGTCTCATGTTGTTTGGACTATAACATGATGTGGAACCTATCTTTCTGTCACAGGTGTACTAGATGCTTATTTGGTGTGCTGGGGGATTTGAACTGTGACGTATATAAGTTCAGATGGTTTCCCCACGGATCATATATGTTTTAAGCCATGTTGGCAATTGAGATGACGCTGTGATTTGAGCATTCTGCAGGTTTATGCTGGAAACAATACTGCTCGTTGAAAAAATACGGCTTATAAGCCAAACAAGCCTAAGCGAACTGGGTGCTTGGGCTTGTTTGACTTATAAGCCGTACTTTTTCAGCCAACGAACAATATTTTTTTCTCATACAAAATCAGCCAACGGTACTTTCAGTCATGGATTATCAGCCAAACAAGCTCAAGCGAACAGGACGATTCTGAAGTGTGTATGTATTTGATTCCAAGGTTACCTGGGTGAACCCTACTGGTAGCATGTGATTTTATTATTCGTCTATCTTGGACTTGGAACACTGGCACTGGGGATGTGATCGTACATAGATTATTGTTGATTTTGATACCATGTAATGTGCATGTTCTCACCTTCCTACAGGAGGTCGTAAATGATCGTGGATTATTTACTGCTGGCTGGTTTGATGTGAGAGAAAAACACTATTCTGGCTAAAAATTTACGATCGTTTACGACCAAGCGAACATGCTGCTAAATTATGGGTTATTTTGGCTTTAATTTTTATTATACAGTACATATAGGTAAAGAAACACATATCTAGAAAATAAAAAAAGAGTAGCATGGAAGAGAGATTTCTTACCGGTGCTGTTCGTTTGCTCGTTCTATGGGCATACAGTATACCACCTATTTGTCGCTGCTCGGAACAGGATAACTTTTACACGTTTTCTTTAAACATGGTACACATTATGCAAGCTTATTACTATGAATGTACGCATACATGGATACCCTATCATAAGAGGATGGCCGACCTTGAGATTTAGGTGGCACAAGGCAATGTCTCAACATTATCAATTTCTGACCAGTACTCCTTCCGCCCAAAAACAGGCATCGTCTTAGCCTCTGATGCAATGACCAAGGAGCACCAAAGCCACACCAATTTGCAATTAATCGCTCCACTGCTCTTAGGCCAGTCTTAGTGGAAGTTTTATTAGATTTTGATTTGTATCTAATAGGGTGCCATATAAGCGTCTTTGATGATGTGACCATGTATTTAATTAGAGAGAGAAAAAGTGAGTTTCATGGGGATAAAACTCTCTTGACACGAGTCATGAAATTAAATGTCAATAAAACCAAATAATGAAACTCTCCGTTGGGAGTGGATGTTTCATCCATGTTTTATTTCAATTTACAGTCTTAAAAACAAGGTTATGAATTATCAAGGAGACTGGCCTTAATGAATATGATGATGCTGATGCCCTGAACAGGCTCGCACTCTGCTGCAATGAATTCGATGAGAATATGAAATGATGAGGAAATTGAGTAGCGGCGTAGATAAAAGGACTGCAGCACTCCTTAGGAAAATCAATGTCATAATAATAAGGGAAAATTGGTTTCATAGCATCCAAAGATCACGATATTCGAAAAATACCATCGAAAGACGTTCGTCACATAAAATACCACCAAAAGAATGAACCGTTACCTAAAAATAGCATTTCGTCACGGTGGCCGCTTTTGCCGTCAATTCTTCCGTCGAGGCACCTTTCTTTCTCAATCCGGTGGCTTACTTAGACGATACCTCACCATCGCCATCTTCGCCCTCGTCCAGCCATCGTGAACTCATCGTGAACTCGTTTGCATGCATACAAACTCGATTGCTCTAGCATGCCATGAGCTTATCACGCTCGGTCCCGGTGGGCTCCACATGGACTGTGCGAGCTGGCCACGGGGCTCCAGATGGGCGTGCCTCTCCAGATTGGCATTAGCCTGGTCCCCTCCATCATCGGCATGGCCATCGTGGCCATTTGTGAGCAGATCGAAGCGCCTCGCCATCGCTGCCTTGTCGTCACGTCCGTGCTCACGCGCTTCGCTGTCGGCGAACCGCTCCCGATGACTCCGTGTCCGAGACCACAGTCCGCACCCCGCCCGGTCGTCCCCTCCTCGCCGCCGCCGCTCCGTGCAATCGCGCAACCACAACGCGAGGCACGACAGCAGGACGCGGGCGCTCGAGGCCACCATGAATGCCTGCTCTACGGCCATGGCCCACATGGCTAAGTAACAAGCACGACTTACATCCACGCCATCCACGGCTGGCTCAAGCTGAGACTGACGCTGGTCAACGGCGCCGCCAAGGCCTCCCCTGTGACAGCGGAGCTCGCTGCATTCGTTGACCGGTGGGGGAAGGTGCTCGACCACGTGCACTGCATGGACGTGCTCAACAGCTCAAGTCGATCAAGAGCATTGCGAGCGCAGCCCGCGCGATCCACGTGCTCCAGAGCTACGAGCTGAGGGTGGCGTGGTGCATGAGGCAGTACTCTGCCGATCCTTCTTTTTTGCGTTCACGGTGTTTTGCTCCAAATTCTTACAGAATGCTAGTTTCTGGTAACGGACGAAGTCTTTCAGATATTTTATGTGTCCGAGGTCTTTCAGTAGTATTTTCCGAAAACACAATTTTTTCGGTGTTATAGAACCAATTTTCCCTGATAATAAACTTGTCGACTTTCCTCTGAAGTCGTTCATCTGAACCTTCCATTTGAGTCTCACAGGCCGATCAAGTACAGCAGCCCGGCCATCTCAACCCAAGGACGCAACGCGAGGTCTCTTGGGCCGTTGGGCGCTCGGTCATTCGTCGTCGCCGTTGTCTTTGTTGCAGATCGGTGCTCCTCTCCCCGGCAGGCCGCCACAGCTCGCCGGCGCTCTCCTCACCGCCACCGAGCACCACCAGGTACGCCCTCCGCTTGATCTTCCCCTCCTGCCGTGCGAAGCCGTGCGAGCAAACTTTAACGTAGTTCGTAAGTACGCCTTCCCCTTCCTGCTGTGCGAAACCGTGCGTCCAAACCCTAACATAATATTCGTGTTCGGATCTGAATCTAATTACAAGTGTATATGCATGTATTACGCCTACTAACTCCGATTGTTTTGCAAAAAATATCCATGTCCTTCACTGGGTCCGCCCCTGCTTGACAGAGCAAGGAGATAGGATTAAGAATGGCTGCGCGGAGCAGTTCTATGGCCGCCGAGGATGACTACGAGGTACGTTCCAGTTCTTTCCTCTCTTTCTGGCAGTTGCTCTGTTTCCCCACTTACTATTGCGATTAAATTGTACTAGTTTAGATATGTGCAGAGTTACGGCCGTATTGAGCAACCGGAAATTGCTAGATGGTGGATGAACAAGTGACATATTTAACTACTATAGGGCAAGATATTTAGGTAGTAAAGTAGAATTGGAGTATCTTTTGTAGTTTTGTTGTTGGATGAGTTCACCTTTAGTTTTTACTTGTACTTGGGTAGATTTCTCGATTGATTACTTCATTTATACGGATTCCAGGGATACAATTGTTCTGAGAAAGTTTAGTAGCTTTGTGCTGTTTTTGGGTGTGATTAGGTTGAATGGAAACAAAAAAAAAATCAATTGTCAACATATTTTTGGGTGATAGTGCAAGCTTTAATGCCTAGGGTACTAGAGCTGGATATGTAGAATTGTATTTCGCAAAAAATAAGAAATATAGAGCAGTATAAATACATACTCCCTCCATTCCAAATTGTAAGTCGTTCGGGCTTTTAGAGATACATAGCTGCTTTTACTAGGTATCTAGGTACATAGCAGACGCTATGTATCTCTAAAAGCCAGAACGACTTACAATTTGCATTGGAGGGAGTATTTGTTTTGAGTTACATTGGACTATGACTAGATCATGATGTTGAATCATGTGGCAGCAGAATAATGGTGTTTTCCAGAGGATGCAAATACCATCCACAGTAACATAGCATTTTTTTGTCACATCCATATAGGTCTAAGTTTACTCTGAATTGAGATTGTATGTGCTCTTATAGTGTTGATGTGATGCAGACTGAACAAAAGAAGCAAGCTGCTGCAGATGTTCTTTTTCACTATTCACAATTTGTTATGGTCTGCATTGGTGAGGATGTTCGCCCTACTGATCTCAGGTTGCATCTTATGAAGGTATATTTATATTTGTTATAATCAAGGATTCAAGGTTGACCTTTGTGGTTCCTCTATCTTGTGAATTTATCATATGCTTTTCTTTTGCTGAGAATTTTTTTTCTCGAACACGCTGGAGAACTGCGTATCATTGCATTAAAAAGAAAAAAAGGGACCCTTACAAAACACCACACACACCCAAAAGGAAACTACAAATCACCTTCCTTCGCGCCAGTAAAAGAAAAGGATACGACTGCAACCTAAAAAAACACACACACCTTACTGAGACGACTGGGTGAAAAGGTAAAAAATACCTTTAGCCCCAGCCCAACCGCACAACTGTAGCTCCTCACTAGCAAGCAATAAGGCTCTAGCCAAACAAAGAGGTACACCATCAAAAACACATCTATTGTGGTGATTCCAAATGGTCCAAGCCCCAAGAATCACAAGGGAGTTGAGGCCTTTATGCAGTTGTCCTCCAAGGCTCCAACAGGAAGAATAATCTTCTCCCACCAATCATCAAATAACTCTTCTCCAATCCGAGGGGCAAGGATCTGTAGGCCTACTCTGTGGAATAATCTGAACCAAAAATCTCCAGCAAAGACACAAGAAAGGAGAAGATGGTTTATGGTTTCCTCATCTTGATCACAATGAGGACACCTCTCTGGATGGGGGAGCCCTCGCCTTGCCAGTCGATCGGCCGTCCAACACCTGTCATGAGCTACCAGCCACATGAAGAAAACAATTGTTCCCCTTGTAGATCAATGCTTTGTTCTTGTTAGTTTCCTTCTTATTTATCGTTTGCATGACTATTTGCTGGTCCCGATGTACTTTATGTGTCTAGATACTAAAATTGAGAGGTGCCTCTACATATTTAGTGAGAAAGGGTAAGCGATAACAATGGTTGCTCGGCTAATCCAAGCAAAGGTTAAAAGTATCCCCAAAATCAGTCATCTACGTTTTATAAAACGTTCTGCTTTATCTTCTTGTCATGTGTGCACCTCCTCTCTGTATTTTTTGGTTGTTCATAGACAGGTCTCATAATTTGTGCAAAAAGCTGCACCACAATCAATTGAACATATGAAAAGTTTTTTAGTATTCCCATTGTTCCCACCATCTCCATCCTAAGCAATGGCAACTGTTGAATATAAGTATATAACCATTGTTTTAACATACTTGTTGCAACCATAAAATCAACTGACTATTCTAAGTTGAGAGGTCAAACTATAAATACAGATAACATCCATTTAATCTTGTTTGGTGAGCTATAAAGAGGGGTTTGAGGAGTTGGATTTATTTTGAACCTACATGACAAGCTTGGTGAGCCTTAATTTATTTTGTTTTTCTATCGTACAGATTCTTGCCTGATTCAGTTTTTTTCTATGGAACATTTTGCTACTTACTTTGAGCTGTTGGGATCATATCAGTTGCTTTTATGTTGTTTCACTATCAGCAAATGATTTACCTCTTGTCAGATCCCTTCCATTCTTGTCAGTTGGTTTTGTTGCTTGTTTGGGGACCTGAGGCAATTAGCTGATTTGTCTGTTGACCTAACTTTTCCAAACCCAAGTTATGATTTATACTTTGGGTTAATAATTGTTAGCAGTAAGCCAGTAACTCAACATGCACAGATTGAGTCTTAAAAAGGAATAAGAAAAGGAACTATTTGCTAGAAAAACTCTGAGATGATGACCTTGTTCATGCTTCAGTGCAAAAGGTGAGGTGCATGTCATTAGGGTCAGCACGTCAGTGCCGAACATGCTTGTGGCACACTGTCTAGTAATTTAAGCTTCCAGTGCATTTAAACATAATTGGGACGAGTCAGAAATTAAAACTGTCTGGTACTATTGTCAAATTTGTGTGCCTTTTTTTTAGAAAAAGAATACAGAAGTTCCTCAGCTTCTGGTGCATAAGGTGAGGTGCATGTCACTAGTCAGCGCATCAGTGACCAACTCATTGTGTAAACTGCATGATTGGTTTGGGGGTTCCAAGTTGCATGGGTTTTAGTTGGCGTAATGACTATATAAATTGATATGCAATTTGTTTGGGTAAACAATAAGATTCGACTATGAGTTGTTTCTCTTTCTCTCTTCCTTTCCTATTCTATAATGCAGCATTTTGTTCTTGATACTTTCTGTGATCCATAAGGCTCATATAATGATAACATACATCATTTGCTTTCTCTTTTCCGTAGGAAGTTTCAGGAATGCCCACTTCTCTAAAGGAGCCTCAACAGGCTGCTTCCTCACCGGCTTCCAGTGGCAAACCGTCTTCCTCTGGAACGATGAAAGGCGACAAGAATGAAATCTCCTTAGCTTCATAGATCATTATCCAACTCAGGTCTTCTGCTGTTCCTTATGCGCTGATAAGATTGTATCGTTCGGAACTTCAGATGATGAGGGCATGAGGCCTACTTGCATTATAGGAATGTAAATATGTTAGGAACACTATTCATAGCTGTCTGCTGTTCTGCTGCTTTAGCTTCTTTCGTGACAGCCTGCTTCATGTTTGAAACCCTTTTTATTCAGGGGGCAGTAACGTAAATGTTGTTGTATTTTTCTTAAAAAAATGCAAATGCCGTATATAAAGATGGCAGGTGAATATTGTGTTTTGAATAGTCACGTTTGCTTATGGCTAGGCCTAATTGTTTGCTCTGCTAAAAGTTAGATGGGACTGATTGGATCTTTAGGTAATACTTAGTAGTTGTGTAGATACATAGCAACTGACCATAATACCCTTGTCTTTATCCTCATACTGGATTAGAGGCAACGGGTACCCGAAACCTTGAGGGCATGTGCATGAGTAAGTTCCTCTATTTGTGAGTTTTTTAATGATTAAAGCTAGATCCTGCGGATTTGTGGGCATGGGTCTATGAGCGTATACTCCTGTAAACAGTAAACTCAGTAAACAGTAGACTCATGGGTTTGCTCAAAAAAAAAGGTAAACTCATGGGTTCTTTAAACCTGTTGATCATAGCATTTTACTTGGCGTAAACCTATACACAAACATCAAATATTATTTTTATATATAGAAAGATACTTGAAATGATGGAATATACCTAAAGACTTAGCCTTAGATAGTAGTGCTTGGAAAATAACTATTCACATGCCTGAACCTTGATTGCTTCTGCTGGGTTTTAACTTTAGGCTACAACCAACTTATTTGGGACTTAAAGGCTTTATTGTTATTGTTGTATATATAGAAAGATACTTACAAAAAAGTATAGAAACGCAAAGGAAATAGAAAATAACTGTTGAGACGTACTCCCATTAAAAAAAGCTTGTATTTTTGGTGATTTTTTTAAAATAATATTTTTAATGATTAATTGTAAATCTAGAAGTTGTTATATAAAAATTTGACATATAGCAACTGGTCGGCTTCTCACTAGCCGATACGCCTACGTCGCTCCACAAAAAATGGCCTGTCGTCAGCGACAGGGACCTGTCGGTCTCTGGAGGGCCGACAGGTACAAGACCGGCATTTGTCGCGCCGATAGGGAATAGTGTCGGACACCATGCAGCCGACAACTCTATTTCATGCAGTATTTCTTCTTTTCTAGACACAACCATCACCCGATATGATACTTTTTGACGAACACAACCATCTCAAGATAGAATACTCGATGCAAAGGCTAAACAATATCCTTTTACGTTTTAATTGTCCTTTGCCTCGATGCAGGTGTGGGACTATATTGGAGCGTTGCCTTCATTACAAAAGTGTGCACATTAGTTTATTAGTTCGCATCACAAATCCAAGAATATTTTAGTTCGCATGCATATATCCATGCTAGCATACTAGAAGTACTCGTAAAACTAAATCTAGCTAATAAACTAAACTAACAAAACCTAACTAAACTAAAAAACTAAACTAACTAAAAAAAACCTGAGATGCTTCCACGGGGCCGGCGTTGGCTACTGGGCCGCCGACAGGTCCTGTCGGCTCACCAGTTGCCGATACGGCCCCTATCGGCTAGCCAGAGGCCGATAGTATACTATATTTACAATTGTTACAATCCAAATGCTAGATTTACAATTAATCATTAAAAAATATTATTTAAAAAAATAATTTTTGGGCCACCATATACCACGCGCAGGTAGCTTCTGGGCACTCGATGCTCTGCGTGTTGCCGAGTGGGTTGGATAATACACACGACGATATTTAGAATCGCTAATGCTTGCTCGTTTAATTTCAGACGCACTTGATTGGCCTGATAATCCCGTTCTTTGTTAGTCAATCACTGGCTTTGTTTATACATGCTACGCATGCCATAATATATTCTCTGTCATATATGGTGCGACCTGATGAGTGATGACGGCAAACTATTGGATTGTTATATATATATAAGACTTGCTAAAATTATGAATTTTAGCTTTCTTTGGGACGATGGTTATTTTATATATTTATATTAAATTACAGTTTTAGCTTGTTGTAATTTATGTAGACATAATCTATAATTTCCGGTTCTGAGAATAAAAACTCGTTAGACAAAACCACAAATCCGACAAAATCTAGCATATGTTGGTACAAAGACAATTACCAATTTAAGATTGGTTCTATAGTTAGATAAGAACAAAAAATTATTTTCTTATGATACAAGGACAAACAATAACCATAAAAATAATAATTTATTTATACTAGTTGATTGTATAAAAGCGTTGTCTAAAATTATCTTAAAATTCAGGTATCTGAAATACAGGAAAAAATTAAATAATAGATATAGCTACGGCAAACATTTGGGATTGCATAAGGCGCAGTTTGCCCTACACTCCTTCAACGTCCTATAGCAATACTCTTTCCGGCTTGCATCCGGGCAGCAGTAGCATTTCTCCAGGTGAGGACTGAAGTAATCGCACCTGACCTCAGTGCAAAAAATGATGATAACCTGCGCGGAGTTGACAGGGCGACGACCTATGGAATTTTTGTGTTCATCAATATGAGTAGTATAAATCATATATCTATATTGATTTTTTTTAAAAAAACTTATAACGATAAGAAGACAGGGTGGCCATGTATACGTACACTGTGTTGGCAATGCCAAGGATCCAATGAGCAAGGTGAAAAGGAACATGGCCTTCACGCTTTTGTCCATCGTATTCGTCACTGAGGATCAGTGTTGGTTTGGACACGAGCACTGAGGAGCAAGAGCAAAGGGGCTTCTCGCCAATATATAACCTGCGCGGTAGCAAACATTTGTAATTTGCAACAAGTTATGGGCAGCGATAAATGACATTTTCACCGCTGGCCATGCATTCTCTCTCCTTTTCTTTTTAGATAATGATGCATTCTCTCTCCTACCCATGCAAAGTGGGCTGTCAAATAAATTCTGAAACTAATTAAACTGAAAGTCTACTGGTGTTCACGTGTCTTGGTTCGGCCGGATGGGTTTTGGGCTTCACGTGTGCTCTTGGGCTTACTTTGCTTGTGCTTTGAGGTTTGTCGTCCTGGCCCAAACGAAACGAGAGAGAGGGACAGTTGCGCGCGCGCAAACGGACAAGAGCAAAGTCAGACTTCCACCGAAGAGTAAACGCGAGAAGAAGGAAAAACCACATTCAGAGTGTAACAACACGGATTATGCTGCTACGGATAGTGTCTGGATTACGAATTCAGATGGTAATAGAGTGCATACAAGAACGATAAATGGAATTTGTCGCCGCCGGTGAACTCGAGCCGCAGCTCGCCACCATCTACTACCGGCGCGTTCCCAGACAAGTTTGAGTTCGCTACGGGTTCACATCTTAAACGAGTTCGCTTACAGCTGTTTCCAACGGCACATCACCAAACACAGCTGGGCTTGGGCTTCTTCTACTTCTTCCAGCTTGGGCCGTGGAACTTTGGATTGGGCTTCCTAGCGCGCTTGCTCCTTTTCCCTTCTGGGCTTGCAGGTACCTTGCGCACTATGACATTTCCCCCTCCATTAGCAACGGCTTGTCCCCAAGCCATGAACTCTGGGAACAGCCGAATGATTTCATCTTCCTCCCAAGTAGCCAACTCAGCAGGAGAATTCTTCCACTTGATCAGCAATTGATAACTTGTACGATGAGCCTTGTTGTGGACACGACGGTCCAGTACCATTTCTGGAGTTTGCATGGCAGAAGGTTCTTTAGGTAATAGAGAAAACTGAATTGGTGCAGAGCCAATTACCTTCTTGAGAAGCGAGACATATAATACCAGATGAACCTTAGAATGATCGGGTAACTTGAGTTTATAAGCAACTTGGCCAACTCTGGACTCCACTTCATAGGGCCCAAAATAACGATAGCCCAGTTTAGTGCAAACTCTGGAAGCCACAGAAGATTGAGCATAAGGCTGTATCTTGAGCCAGACTAGATCTCCAACTGAAAACTGGCGATCCACTCTATGTTTATCAGCTTGAGTCTTCATTTTCTGTTGTGCTCGAAGTAACTATTGATGTAGAAGGGCAGTAATAGAATGTCTCTGTTTGAGCCAATCATCCAGTTCAGGAATGACACAATCTTGCTCAGGATCAATGCCAAAGTGCCATGGTGGATGGCCATACAGTATTTCAAAGGGTGTATGAGTAAGAGCAGAATGATAGTAGGTATTATACCAGAACTCAGCGAGGTGAAGCCATTGAGACCATTTTGTAGGAGTAGAATGAATAAAGCATCTGAGATAAGCCTGAATGCATTGATTAACTCGTTCAGTTTGACCATCACTCTGCGGATGATATGCTGAACTCATACACAAACTGGTGCCTGACAGTTTAAACAACTCTTTCCATAAAAGGCTGGTGAATATTTTATCTCTGTCTGAAACAATAGCTTGAGGCATTCCATGCAACTTATATACATGTTCCATATAGAGCTTCGCTATCTGGAGAGCAGAGAAAGGATGTTTCACCTTAATGAAATGAGAATACTCGGATAATTTATCAACAATCACCAAGATGCAGTTGTATTGATCTGAAGAGGGCAAGCCTTCAATGAATTCCATAGTTACCACCTTCCAGGCCTGATCAGGAACAAACAATGGTTGGAGGCGACCAGGATAAGGCACATGCTCAGACTTTGCTTGTTGACAAACTAAACAAGCAGCCACAAATTTCTGAATTGTATCCTTCATGTGAGACCAATAAAAGAGCTTCCTAACTCTGTGATATGTAACAAGAAATCCAGAATGTCCTCCTATGGGATTGGCATGTAACTGCTCAATAACAGTCTGTTGAATGTCATCAGAATGACCCAACCATATAGCACCTTTGTACTTGATAATACCCTGATCCCGAGAGAAATGGCCTTGTGGTGACTGTAAAGCTAAAGATTGGAAGAGCTTTTGAGCAGCTGGTTGATCCTTATAGCTATCTTGAACAGATTGTAACCAAGTTGGTAAGACAACAAACAAGGCAGACAAGATTCCAGTACTATGATTCATCCTAGAAAGAGCATCTGCAACACAATTGGTAGAGCCCTTTTTGTACAAGATTTTATACTGAAACCCCATGAGCTTAATCATAGCTTTTTGCTGCCAATAAGAATTGAGTTTCTGATCTTGCAAATGAATCAGACTGCGTTGATATGTTTGTATAGTGAACTCAACAGGCATAAGATAAGCTTTCCATTGATCAACTGCAAGAAGAATGGTCAAACTCTCTTTTTCATAAGTTGACAAGCCCTGAGTTCTGGGGCCTAATGCTTTGCTGACAAAAGCAATAGGGTGCCCATCTTGTTACAGGACTGCTCCAATTCCATGATCTGATGCATCAGTCTCAATGACAAATGGTTTATGAAAATCAAGAATGGCTAAGACAGGAGCAGTAATAAGAGCAGTCTTGAGTAGTTGAAATGCCTCCTTAGTAACATTAGTCCACACAAAAACAGTCCCCTTTTTAAGCAACTCAGTAAGGGGCTTTGCCAACATACCAAAATTCTTGACAAAGCGTCTGTAGTATCCAGCTAGACCCAAAAAACTTCTCAATTCCTTGAGATTAGATGGTGTAGGCCAATTCTTTACATCAGATACATTAGAAGGATCAATGGAAACACCTGCAATGCTTAAAACATGGCCCAGATAGTGAAGTTTCTGTTGAGCAAAGGTACACTTGGAAAGCCTCACTTTCAACTAATGCTCGTGTAACAGTTGAAACACCATCTTCACATGATTGACATGTTCTTCAAAGGTCTTACTGTAGATGAGAATATCATCTATGAAAACAGCCACACATTTCCTGAGTAATGATGATAGAAAATAATTCATGACAGACTGAAATGTTGCTGGAGCTCCTGTAAGACCATAAGGCATTATCATATACTCAAAGTGGCCATGATGAGTTTGAAAAGCAATTTTATGCTGATCAGCTTCTTCAACCATAATCTGATGAAACCCAGATCTGAGGTCCAAGGTTGTGAACCATTGAGCTCCTTGAAGTTCCTCAAACAATTCCTCAATAATAGGTAAAGGAAATTTGTTTTTCACTGTATAAGCATTTAATCTTCTATAATCTACACATATCCTCCATTCACCAGAGTTCTTCTTGACTAGTAATGCAGGTGAGGCAAAAGGGCTTGTACTCTTTTTAATCATATTGGACTTGAGTAATTGAGTGACTTGCTTTTCAATCCCATCCTTCTAAAAGGGGTATATCTATATGGTTTTAACCTGAATGGCTGAGCACCAAGAATCAAAGGAATAGTATGAGTCAAAGCCCTGGATGGTGGAGTTCTTGTTGGTTCAAAAAATAAATCTGGAAACTAAGACACCAACTGTGTAATTGTAGTAGGGACTTCAGATGTAACCTCAGCATCAGGTTTAACTGCATACACCTCAACAACACCCCAAATTGCATCTGATTTGGTCATGGCTGATAACTGATTCACAGTAACCTCAGGACCAGAGACAGGATCATCATTAATACCAGATAATTTGACTATACTGCCTTCATGAATAAAATTGAGCCACTTATGTTTCCATTCAATCTGCATAGGGCTATGTGTCTCAAGCCATTCCCTACCCAGTATAGCATCATAACAAGTAAGTGGCAAAATCTTGAAAGTAGTAGTAAAGAGATGACCCTGAACTGACCAAGAGCAATTTACTACTTCATGAGTACACAACAAAGTAGCACCATTAGCTACCTTAACTATCATTGATTTAGCTAAGAGAGTCCATGGAGAGCTGAGAAGCCAGATGCTGTCTTATGAAGTTATGGGAACTTCCAGAATCAACCAAAATAATTGAAGGCAAATTCTGGACAAATGCAGAAAACTTCAGAGTATGAGCAGCGGTAGTACCTCTGACTGCATGTTCAGACAAGGCCAAGAGTTCATCATCATCATCATCAGACTCTGACTGAGCAGCAGATGCGGATGGGGATTCTGCTAAAAGTTGCCACACTTCCTCCACCAGATGCAAAGGAATAGAAGCCTGACACTTGTGTTGTGGTCCCCACTTTGCACCACACTTAAAATACGACCCTCTTGCCTTGCGGTAATTTAGAAGAGAGTTCAACTTCTCATCAATAGGAGGCTTGGAAGCTGAAGTCACAGGATTCTCTTGAGCATTTGCTTTGATAGAATTCCTAGTTGAGAAATAAGAATGTTTACTGAAGGGCTTGTTCTGTCCCCCAGAAGAGTCTAGCTTCTTGTACCCAATGTGTGCAAGTGTGTTTTCTATCAATGGCTCAAGATCACATCATATGGATTGGATGGCCCACAAATGAAGAAACCGGACGTGACAACATGGTCCCACCTGCATATACCCCTCAAGGAACAAGCTAAGAGGCCCCACATGTCATAGGGGGGGGGTGTCGGCCGAACCCCCTATGGTCGGTCGACCACTCACTTGCACCCACCGACCTCCAGCATGGAGGCAAGCACAAAAGCACATCGAGGCTTGATCTTGGCCCTTAATTCAATGGCGGTTTCATCCAAAGGCTATGAAGATATGTCACATGGATCCATGGACCCACATAAAAAGCACTATAAATATCCCCTACCCCACTCACTCTCATTCATGACACAAAGATGGAAACTTGTAACACCTCTAGTGTTACGAGCTTACTTAGCACCTACGTTAAGGTCAACGAAAAACAATTTATATAAACAAAAATAAAATATAACTTGTGTGTAGTACTTAAGTAGAGATGATGAGCAAGTGGTGTAGTTGAAAATGCAACTTTAATTTTTGAAAACAAATGTTGTTAACTAGTGTTCTTGAGAGCTCAAAAATCGAATCCAAAATTTAAACTAGAACTTTCCGTTGAATTGACAAGAAATTGAACTTATGTTACGAACGTCATTTTTGGTGAGTTATATTGAGCAAAATAGTTAAATGATGCTTAAATGTTTTGCTCCGATGTGTTAGTATGTAGTATGGGCTATTGAGTGAAATATTCATTGGTTGAAATTAATAAGGTTTAGACATATTAAAAAATTGCAACAAAAGTGCTCATGGTTGTTAGTTCTAACCGAATCTTGCCCTCTTCTATGTCTGGGAATGATAGTAGACCATGTCATTTTGACACTCAAATTCTAACCAAATTGTTTAAACACTAACTGCATGTTCTCGTACTGTTGGTTGCCTCTAAGTGAGTACTTGAGAGCATGGCTTAGGTGGTAGTGGTGTTGGGTGTCATGATACCCTCGCAAAATTGCCCGAACCTCGTTAAAACGTGTCAAAGTCATGTCGTTGGCGCTCTGTTCGTGAACTTATGTTCAGAGCGACGAGCTCACATTGGCATCCATCTACCTCCTTCCTTGGTAGTCCTCTGGTCATGGCGATGGCGTTGCTAGGTCGTTGGCAATATGGACTTTACGATAGGGGTGTTAGTTGAACCTCAACTATGATCGTTAGTGACTTTTGCTACGCTTTGAAATGTGTGCATGTCACCTAGGGCAGCCGTTCAGACTGGGTTCACGGTCACCGCGGGCATAGCGTGGTGGCGCCGGGGTCATGTCGTGACCAAGCCGTGGTGACCGGCCCACGCGTGCGCCAGGCCTGTGCCGCACCGTGCCTAGGTCTTGCGTGGCCCAACCCGGCTGGCAGTGGTCTGGTCACCTAGCTGCGGTGTGCGCGCGCCAACGCCAGCCACCGAGCCGTGCGCAGGGCCATGGCGGAGCTGCGGCTGTCACCGCCTTGCCGTCATGGCGCTCGCCCTTCTTTCATCCTACCTACAGCGTCGAGTCTTTGGACGTGTGTCGCTGCCACCACGCCTCGGTCGACGACCCTGACCACTATGGTGATGAGATGTTTCCCTGCCTCGCCCGCTAGCTGACGCCGGTGAGCCCCGCTCGGGTCTTGCCGCTCCATTCAAGCACACCGCGCCAAGCCCATGAACCATCACCTGTGCGCACATGTTCGAGCTACTGCCATCAAATAGAGCCGCCCCATCTTAATCCGCTCCCCATGCTCGGGTGCACTCTCCA